ATCCTAACCCCAAACTTGCCAATTTACTGCTATAATTAGACATCTCTCTATTGGCATGGTTTTATCATAAAACATTATTTTGTTTTTTTTGGACACAAGAGGAAAGGCAGCAGAAAGTATATATAAAGTGTTAGATCTGAAGGTACTGTTGTTGTCAAACGATCAGAAACAGCCCCCAGAAGTCGATTGACATTGTCAAGCATGATGCAGCACACTACAGTTATTACTGTCTGCATATGACTCATGAGCTTCCCACACACATTACTTTGCAAGCACAACTCCAGCGTGCCATTTTCTACTGCACTGGATTCCAAAAAGTTAGACTGTCTTGACACTCGCTCACACAGTGCAGGTCCATCACCCCTAACCCCACTCTGCACATTTGCAAACAGCTCTGCTATTGCAGGCAATCCAAGATCTCTGCTTTAAGACTCAGCTGGGTATTAAAGGATATGAATATCGTGTGCATATTAAATGCTTTTATCATTATTATCATGGTTAGGGTAATATTTGCTGAAAAAAGCAAAGATTAGTTTCCTGTTATGAAGCTATTGCAATAAGAGAAAAGAGAGCAACATTAATCGGTTACTTATTTTACTTACTATACTTTTCTAATTTTGTCCTGAGACGCTTAATGTCTCAGTGAGATAACCTGTTTAAAACAATACTAATAAATAAGTCAAAACGTATCACATTTGGATTTTTAAAATGTAGCATTTACGTATTTTTTGTTTTTCATCAGATGACAGTAATTCCAACGAAAAAGACACATCTACCACATCATTAGAACGGATTTTATTGTTTGGAACACTTTAAAGGAGTCCATCAGTACTTGTAAATAAAATGTATGTGTTAAGAGTTTGTAACAAAACTCAGCATATTTTGCAATCCCCCTTTGTTCAGAAGTTCAGAAACTAAATTTAGTCTGAAGCCAGAACAGTCATTGCGGTGAATATGTACGCTGTATTTTAAGAGTAAAGATAATGCTGTATATAATTTTGAATTAGCGATAAAATATGCTATTTGAAGTGACAAAGTGCGGTATATATTTATTTTGCTTATTGGTCCTGGTCCAGTCTCTCTGCTGTGATGACGCTGTTGAGAAAATAAAAGTTATTAAGCTATTTTAGGCATGAAACTAGGGCTAAAACTATTAATTGGAATAATTGTGATTAATCCATTATTTAAATAATCATCAACTAATTTTAGTCATGAACTGGAATAAAGAGAGTGTAAAAAATGCCTTTAGCTGACAGAGCGACCCACTTAGAGCAATAATTATATAAAAAACTTTTCAAGTGGAAAAGTTTGACTTTCATCTGATTTAATTTCATAAAAACATCTTCTTCAAGGAACCGTTATCAGATTATTAATCGATTAATCAAATAAATAATCGCCAGATTAATCAATTAGCCCTACATGAAACCTTGTCTAATTATTATATCCTGGAGACAGATGAGTTTAGAGGTTTATATTATGACCTTTGAAACCATTTAAAACAATTGGCAAATCTTTTATGATAATTTAAAAATTATTATCATTTCTCTCTGCAGGTCATAATGCAAAGTGCACCCAGCAGTGTTTCTGCACACAGCGGTAAACAAACTTACACTTAGACAAACTTTATTGTCATTTTGTACAAACAGAGTGTATACAAAGCGAAATTTCATTTTGTACAGCTCTGAAGACATTTCCATTTCTAAGGTGCAGCAGTGATAAAATGTAAACATGGTGATCAGATGTAAACATAAGACTCAGATATGATTTACAGTTTTTTCCAACATTAGTGGTTTTTTTTTTTCATTTTTACTTAATGAAATTTTGCTATTGCCTTTTATAATATATATATATATTTTAATTAATACATTAAAACCACAGACTGCATCCAAAACACTAAATGTACCCTGCACTCACTCCATGTGTTTTTTTTTTTTTACATTACAGTGCTTACTGTACATTATTTCAATTAGCCTTCAGCTTCAGCTTGCAGTGTAAACTATTTCCATTTTTACTCTGAAGGCTTAGAAGCCTTATTTGTCTCATTTTGTTTGCCTTATTGAACCAGTAGAAATACACTTGTCAGACTGCATAAAGCCAATATTATTTTTCCTATGTTCTGTCCAGTATATGCAGATATTTTGCTGCTTTAATTATTGGTCAAGAAATATGAGAAGCTGGTGACATGTTAAACAGACATTCCAGCCTTTTTTGAAAAAGCTGCAACATGAAAACTGCAGTGGTGCTGATGAGACACAATTAGACCTTCTTGGATAGAAAGCCTGTTAGATCACACCATAATGACCCTTGAAAATGTCTCTGAATGATTAAATTTGTTCCTGATTCTAAAATGCTTCATGGTCAGGATGTTTGGGCGCGCCCTGACCTTTTAATACGCCTTAGAGCTGCTGGTTCAACACTTATAGAACATTCAGCAGGAATTAAAAGTTGGACAAGCAGGCTTTTTAATACTTTAGGGAAAAACTGCCTATGAGTTGATCCTTATTTCAGTAGGAAAGATCTGAAATCATAGAATATTGCCATTATTTAATAAACGTTATTTGAGGTATGGTGGGGGTTTTTTTTTTATTCTCTGGAATTTTTTATTATAATTTTTTTTTTATTTTCATTTATCTAACCAAAATGCCAATTAGGGAAAAGCATTGAAAATTAGCTTTGGCTACACAAGTCGAAGTAAGTGCAGATGTGCAGCCAGATGTCAAATTAGTTAACTTTTGCCGCTAGCTGCATGAGACTGTAGGGAATTTATTTTGTGTTCCTCTGTATGAACAAAATCATTATTGTACAGTTATTCACCATAAGGTACATCATTTCTTGATGCTCTTTGCTGGTGGAGATATGTTTGGTTTGATTCTCCCTGGGGCAAAATCAAAAAATCATGCACTATGTGATTGATTTCATTTATAACATTAACAGTAAATAACATCAGTTTTATCATGGTAAAGGTTAAACCTACAGCTGTTTTATCCTATGGTCCAAAGCTTAAATGAAGGATGTAGTTGCTCTACAAATAAATCAGTGTACTAGATAATGAAAGCCATCCCAGCTTTGTGCCATTTAATGACAACCCATGCAGACTCAGTGTCATTTAATGTCATGAAAGAGAAAATTAAAGCCAATTTGATGCTAATTAGCAACAGATTTCCTTCTTACTCTCTCCTATTATCCCAGGACTCTTCCTTCAGGGTTTAACAGATCAACATCACCATAAAAAACAATTTCAACCCTCTTAGAAAACAGTGATTCTTTCCTACGTTAGCGTCTCGGCGGAGCGCCTTTGGCTCAGTAGCCCTGTCTGAATCAGAACCTTGCAAGAGTGGTGTTTAATGGGGGCTTAGCTGATACAAACTGAAACACATGTAGGAGTTAATTTTTTTAGATTGGCTAATCAGAGGAAATAATTGCACATGCTGACTACAGAGTGTTTTTTAGTGTTTGTGATTGTGGGCCGCCCCCTCTGTGGCAGCGGGACCCCTGTTGCTCTTTCAGTATCGGACTGACTGTACATGCCGAGTGTGTGAGTGACTCCTTCATCTGTATGTTAAGCCGGTGAGAGCGTCTTTTGTTTTGCAGACAGGTTTACTTTTGTAACACTGAGCTGCGAGTCTTTACAGGAAGAGTTAAAAGCAAATTTATCATAAATTTGCGTGTGTCCCCCCCCAAAGGTTAGTATGCAGTTGCCTCAAAAATATATATATAAAAATGTAACGTTATTTATGTTGTTATGATTCAGGGGTAAAAAGTAAGAAGGTGGGTTTAGAAAATAAATTGAAAACATGTCATTTTTCAGACTTTTTTAAGTACATAAATTCTAAGTCTCTTCAAAGAATCAGTTTTTGCTCTTAAACCGTTTTTTATTTTTTTTATTTTACTGTGTTGTAATTAGATATCATTCATCAGAGAGGAAAACGAGTCTTCTTAAAAGGGAAGAGAATAAGAATCAGCATTTGGGGATAGAGGCTGAAAGCATGTGTTTGTGATTGTCATTTATTGTCTCTTCCGTGGGAAAAACGAAAGCGTCTCTTCGCTGCAGCCTGAGTGGGGACTGGTGGAGAGAAGCTCCTTAGATTGCAGCGTCTAATGTTTTTTTCTTACTGCAGAAGAGCATGCCTGGGGAATCATTAAGACACAGCTATACTGTTCCCCATAGTATAGATAGTCCTTATCTATACAATTTGAACAGATGTATGTCTTCTAACATTTTCAGCAGCTAATCTCCTCCAACTTTAATGCCATAAAAGAAGGAATTTTTCCAAAAACAAAAACATTCTTGATCTATAGGCAGGAGTTTGTATACTTACTATAATGGAAATCTAGATTAAATGTGTTTTGGGTTTTTTTCAGTTTGGAAGGGTTATAAAATATCTGGAAAGGTGTATTTTTAAAATTTCTGTAAATGAGAAGAATCTTGATTATAGTAATTTAAACTGCAAATGAAACAAGCTATGTATCTGAGGTTGATCAGGTAAAGTATTTAATTCGAGGCAAAAAGAAATCTGCCTATTTATAAATAACTTGTTTTGTAAATGTAATACAATAATATTTGACTTATTTTTAGTATTGAAAATTGCTAAGTTGATATTTTCTCTGTCTGTGTTATACAACTTTATGATGCAATTAAATACAAAAACAGAACGTAATTCAGATGATCTCAAGATTATTTCAACAATCTGGATCAGGTTTGGATATCTGTTTTTATCCATGTTTTTCCCTATTTGGCAACACTTCCTTCTGTGTGTTTTTATTTTTTGACTTTGGATGTAACTTGAAAAATGTATACATGCAAAGTTATATTTAATAATAAAAACTCTGTGCAGAAGTAAATGCAGCTGTTTTTGGTAAATTTTAGCAAACTTACATTTTTATTCCAGACTGAATAAAAGACAAACATATATATAAAAAAAAAATACTTTTCCAGTTCAGACAGATCAGTTTAATAATTGTGTCTCATCTTCTCAGATTTCTACCTTATTTCTTCACAGTGGATACTGAGCAGGTCAGCGCTCTGGGATCTGAGGAAGACGATGAGGTGGGGTTGTGGAGCCTGGAGCCCCAGGATTGCCACGAGAGCCCAGACAAGACGAGCCTGACACCCAGCGAGGTGGCGGAGGAGCCCGGCAGCCCTGTCCACTTTACGCGACCACCGGGCCTCAGCCCTGGAATCAGGATCTGCTGGGGCCAGGTGGAGTCAGAGGCTCCGGCTGAGGAGGACGACACGCACGCGTCCACAGAAGTAGAGAGGGAGCAGGAACCACTGAGGATGTACTGTAAGTCTTAAACTGTAGCAAAAATAACTACTGTATGGGTAAACAAGTTAGTGTTTTTTTTTTCTGATGCAACAAAGGGCTGTTCTCACCTTCATATCAACTCCTTATGAAACCATGCCTTCCCTATGAGCTGTTGCTTTTTTCACAGTTCTCTTTGAAAAGGCTTCTTTCTGAAAGCATGACAAAAGAACTCATCCCACACAAAGTCACCATATTTCCATGCATCAAAGAGGTGACGTTACGGTACTGAAATCAGCACTGCGCAACGTGAGGCTTTCTCTTTTATTTAGTGAAGATCAAAGCCTCTCACTCCGCTTGCCTACTAACAATCACTTAGCTCCCTCGCCTTGTGTGATTTGGCCCTGCCCGATGAAGGCAAAGCTGAGTTTTTACAACACTCAGCCACACAGACTCTTCACTAGCCACATAAAAAAATGGCCCGAAATATGCCAACATCTGCAAACATTTGAAAAATCTTCCTCAAAGTCAGAAGAGAGAGAGAGAGCTGATTGGCTGGATCCATGATAGGAGCTCTTGCTTCTCCACAAACATCAGTGGCTTTGATTCTTTGCCCGCCTGTCATTGCGCTCAAGGGTACAAATGAGAAGAAATTCCTTGAATCTGTCTTCATATTTGGCCAATAAGCTTCATGAATTTATTATTAGATCTTTCTAACTCATGTAAACAATTCAATCCCAATAGAATCCCATGCACAGTGCCATTTTTTGGTTTATCCTCACTCCGTCTTCACACGCTTAAAACTGTTGTGTTAAAAAAATGCATGAGCACAGCGAGTATAGGCCCGCAAAAACTGAGCGAAAGCTCTTAAGAATACAATAGTTTACCACAAGAGCACTCAAAGATCAGTCAGAGTTAATCAACGACAAAAAAGCTAACTTTAAAATCCTCAAATAAGAAATAGAACCGTCACAAGGTTCCAAATATTTGATTTTTTTATGTAATACAAAATACCACCTAATTGCAGAATTCATACTGTTCAAAGTCTTTTTACTGATCAAAATCATAGAACTATCACATGCATTTGAATCCACTCTCCTAAACCCCCATTATATCCACTGAGAAAAACTGCCTTTGTCTAAATAATCTAGATTAATCAGTAAATTGCGTCCAGCTCTGTAAAAGCCTAGCGTTTGGTAGTGGAAGCATCATGCGGTGGGGATGTTTTCTTTAGGAGGTACAGGGATTCTGGTCAGAGCTGATTAAAATGTTGAGGTTCAACATTCAGCGGGACAATAAACAATATGGGCTGGAATGGTTCAATCCAGATATAGCTCATATTCTAGTGTTAATATGGCCTAGGGAGTGGATGATACTTCATTAACAATATCTATCATAATTAGATTTTACTTAATAACAGTGAGTTTTAATACACATTACAGTCTATGATTACAGCTTTTAAGAGTTATTTCTAGTTTTTGCTTTTTGTTACTCAAAACAAATATTTCTACGGTGTCTATTGGAAGAGTTTTATATACAGCTCAACATGATTGTCAAAAGTTGTTTTACAGAGTTTTGTTGTAGGGATAGTTGGCAGTTTTTCTTAAGCTTTTATTTTGTTTTTATAGATATTGAAATACACTTTATCGACTAAAAATATAAAAAGATGTCATAAAATGCATTTTGGCCATATTGTCCAGCCCTAATAAGCCCATGTCAAACTAACTATATCATTTCAATTGACAATATGAAAGAAGAATTGAACATGTATTTTTTAAATAATGTATCTGACGGAACTTTTCAAAGAAGATTTGTTAAAAAGTTCAGTCTCTAGAGGTAAAAATCTGACTAATCCTGGAGACTTGGATCAGTAATAAGAGCATATATGGTTCTGTAAAGTATTGAAAATAAATACATGTTATTCTTCAGATTTTAGTTTAGTTTTCCAATGCAACAGTAAATTAATTGCACAGGACTTTATCTGGAGACACCAGGTTTAAGAGGGACTGTGCACAATGATGCATGTCAGACGTTTAGTTTCTATTTGCTAATTACAAAATAAAGCAAAACCATTACGTTGATTAACTATCTAAAGTACCCAGAGATTTCTGATAAAAGGCGACAAAATATGCAAAGGTTTATGTTTTAGTTTGATTTAAAAGAAAAATATTTTTTCAAACCATTTTCCGTTTCCTTTTATCAAGAACTTCTACTTCAAAGGCTAAAAACCAGCGGGTTGACTTTTAACACAATGGTAGCAGTCACATTAAGCAATGTATTTTCTTTTTCTCTGGCAGGTAAGAACTCAGACTCCCAGAATCATTTTGAAGATCTACCCCATTATGAGTTTGTGTCTCAGCTGAGGAGGGATTCGGTAAACTCCTCGGCTGTTTACCGTCAGAGCAGCAGACACGATGAGCTCCCTCCTGCCATCTGGTCGCCGGGAGCACAGCACTGCTCACCTGAATCAGCAGGTAAGTTATCAGACAAACCTGCATGATGCTAACTTTGACATAGAAAACTTCAGATCAGTTTTTACTTATTAAAGTGTTAAAGGCATCCAGTTGCACTTCTGATAATGCATCTATCTTATCATAAGTGTTAAAGTAATTCTGAGAAAACGGAGGTTGGCTATTGCTTCTGGTTTACCAACAAATCTTATCATTGCAGGAAAATGTATTAATTTAAATGCAAGCAAATTTTAAGCTATTTTTTCTCTTTCATATTAAAGATCTCATATTTCCATTTGGTATTGCAGCATATTGTATGTAGGACATTTTGTCAGTATTTGCACGCAAGAGAAAGAAGGACAGAGGTACATTCTTGTATGTTATTATAGTCATATCTGTAGCATATTATTCAAGAATATCATTTTGATGCACTAGCTAGGTTTTAAACATGGAATATATGAAGGACAGTTGACAGTTAAGCTAAAAAGAGCTTCTTGTCCTAATAAGGGATATTTTTATTCTATTACCTGTGTTAACGGATCTGCATGCTGTCCTTTTAATTTCATAATTTAGAAGGTTTCTTAAAAACATCTGGTTGTCAATTTCTCCATGGAAGCCATATAGATAGTTTGATTTAAAATACTTAGAAGGTGACTGAATGAAGACGATCAGCTAAGGAGTTTTATAATGTTTACTTTGGGCAAGAGAATCACTTAATAATAATAATTTATTCTTGTGAATAAATGTTTTTTTTTCAATAACTTCAGTGAATTTTAATATAAAAAATTAGGTGAGCGATTTAGGATTTATAACAGATTGTATGCATCTGTACAATATTAGACATCAATAGTACAGATACGGGTGGTCAGTCATGGTATCGTTTATCATCAAAAGGAGGAAAAAACTTTTTATTTATTGTCTGTTTCTGGCAATAATGATTAAACTCTAATTTGAGGTTAAAATCTAAAAATAACAATATGATCTGTTTTTTTTACTTTCCTTTTTTTTTTTTACCCCATTGTTGATTTCCTAACAGCATTATTAAATAGTAATATATTTGGATAATATAATCAAATGTGAATATGGTGTTCTGCGTAGCAAGATTTTAAAGGGACACATTATATTGCAGTTTTAGAGTAGTTTTATTTTTTGCAGGTTTCTGGATCTTGATACTTTCTTAATCAATTTTGCAATTAGTAAGAGTAATCCTAGAGATATTATAAAACATTTTACATCTTTATTGTTTTTCTTGAATGTATGTACCCACCCTTAATTTAAAATTTTGATTAAATGACCCTTTCAAGTTAAACGGGTTGCTTTTCTGACATAATTTAAGCATTTTTCACAAATTTAATTTCACTGTTTTATTTATTCTTTCTGTAGAAAACTTTTTGTGTTTTCTACATACATTTATCAACCATTTTAATAATTTTCAAATAACTACATTTATTTGGTAAAAGTATATATTTTTTAAACTTTGTCAAACAATTCCATTAAATAAAATAGTGGATCTGAATGCCTAAGTAAAGGTTTAGAATTTTTTGTTTTATTTTCTTTAATAAATGCATAAATAACTCAAAAACATCAATAAAAATTAATCATTAATTTCTTAAGTAATTGTTGGCTGTCTTAACCACAAAGATGCATGTGTTCTCTTTCTTATTGCTCACATTGATGGGTTAACGGACGCATTATGCTTATTTTGTGGCTGATTTTGTGGCCAATATAATGCTGTGAATAAAGCCCCTGCCAATGAGAATAAAAACCTTAAACCAAAACCCTTTTTTCACTGGTCATACTATTAGTGTAACTATGAGCAAGATAAAATCTCCTAATTCTCTATAATTCAGAGGAAATTTTTTTGTTGTTCAGAGCATGATAGCTTTACTGTATGTGACATTGAAAGTATAAAATATCGATAATGGTTAAAATAAATGCTAGATTTTGGCTGATATAGTAAATTGCAAAAGTTTTTAAATCTGTAATAGTTTTTTTTACATTTTGTTACTTTACTGCAACAGACTTGTGTGTATTTTGACATTGACAACAATATTGAGTTTTGAAGAAAATTAATGCCCATTTTCTTTTTTAGATTTTTCTTAGATTTTATACATATTTTCATACAACCTGGAAATCTGTGGCTGTGTATTTAACCCTCTAAATCTGAAATCCCTACATAAAGTCAAAATAATTTCAAAGTTGCCTGCAAAAAGTAACCTTAAAAGGAAATTAGACTTAGACTTAGACTTCTTTATTTGTCATTTTGTATGCACAGAGTGCATACAGAACGAAATTGCGTTACATACAGCTTATGAACGTTGCATTGATATTTCAAATGGCACAAGTTAAATAGGCTATAATATCTGGATAACAGCTGCCCTGGGAAGGCGTCATGCAACCTCAAGCCCAAGCAATCCCCCTGATAGTTTATAGATATATTTTAAGGTGGACTCAGGTATGCATCAATGTTCACAAACAAATGTTACAGAAAATTATTCAATATTTGATCTGAAAAACAATAAAATAAATTAATAGCATAACTGAAGACCCACCAAGGCATGGTGGTCTACCTGAACTGACAGACCACACAACTTAATTCTAATGGAAGAGGAGAGGAATTCCCAGGTTTAAAGAAAACTATTGAGGATTCCTGTTTGTAATTTACCCCAAGTCATGTAAAAGATGGAGCAAGCATGCAATAAACAGTGCTTTAATCGGATAAGACAACATACTGGAGCTTTTTACCTTATGCCCAAAACCTGATGTTAGCTACAAATCTTTATCTGCGCATTGGCCTGACCGTACTACATGGTAAATGGTGCGATGGCAGTATCACATTATGTCAAAGTGTTTTTCTTCAGCCTATAAGGATGGGTGTCCTGCAACTTTTAAAGGTTTCCCAGCTCTAAGACACCTGATTTACATGATTGTTATTCAACAAAAGTTTGTTACCCTGCAATTAATGGAAATCAAAAGGAAAAAAGAAAGCCCTGCAGGACAGCGCCCCTTGAGGGCCTAGATGGTTCCTACAGCCATTGCTGCAATGGAATGGTTTATATAAAAAAAACATTGGTCTAGTCAAAGTCCATGCACACCAGAAGCTGTAATAAAACTTGAAAATGATGGCTGTCCATCCAGTCTGATAGAGAACCCTTCTTGTCGTGAGGAATGGGCAAAATTCAACAGAGCAAAGCCGATAAGAAAAAATTCCCCAACGCTTTAAACTAGTATAACTAGTATGTAAATAGTATAGCTAGTAAATACTTATAGGTATTTTACTTTCCCTTCACAATTATTCACTATTTTGTCAGAGTCTACCACATAATAATCAGATGAAATGCACTGAGGTTTATTCATTGAGTATTTATAATTATATAAGAGACTATACAACAAACATTTTGAAGCATCTAAGAATACTTCATCTACTGCTAATTAGGCTTTCACCGATACTAACCTTTTTCAACCCCTGGAAAATATTTGGTATTTGTTATATACCATGTGGATGAAAAATGGTAAATAATTAGAAGCATAAAAATATGTTAAGGAACTTGAAAAATTGCCTTTTTCATCTCAGCGAGGAAAGTATCTTTTTAAGAATCAAGATTTATAAGGAGGAAATATGCAAGCCACACACCACAATTTGACTATATTTGAAGGTTAATCTGCAAACAATCAAGAAATATACCGTATTATTACCAAGAGCATAATTCCACAAACGACCCTTTTTCTTTAGTATCACTACCATGACAAATTAGTAATGTACCTGGATTCAATGTTTGAGTAATACCCTACTTCTCATTGATTCAAACTAGTTTTATTTGTCTTACATCCTGAAATGACGATTGCCAAGAAAAGCAACAAAAAAACCCATGATACAGTTAAAAAAACTCCTGACACAGTTGAAATATTCGAAATATTGATATTGTTTTTATGAGGACATGTTAAGAAATAAATACAATTTTCAAAGCAAAAGGGCAAAGAGGCAACCAAAGAAGACTCAAATGCAGGACTGAACTCAGGGAAATTAAGTAAAAAAATAAATAAATTTAATGTGCTACTGCACAATGAGTGGAGCTACTGGTGCAAATTTCATAAAGCAAGGCTGGTCAAAAAAACAAGGAGAGCATATAGCTTAACTGCTAGGCAAGGTAGAATAAAGACTGGGACGTTTGACACACATGACAAAGACGAGCTGGCAAAGAAGGCTGCAGAGAAAGAGGTTTAAATAGGTGAGGCAATTGGCAACAAGAGACAGGTGAGCAGTATCAGGAAGGCTGATTAAAGGGAAATCCGAGGAAGTGAAGCAGTCTGAAATGAAAACAGAAATTAGTGAACCTAAATAAAACAGGAAGTTCAAAAAACAACTGAGCCAGACATAAAATGATAAAATGGAAAGAAAGAAACTAATCGGCAGATCTGCATGTAAAAATTGGTGACCAGAACAGATTTGGACGCATAATTTGAGATGGCAGAATCATCGATATTACTGCTTTTGGTTTTTCATCCTTGTAAGACACTGATTTAACCAGAATATTAGATATTTGCTTCACACACACTGAAGTCATGCTTTATGCTGTAGACCTGTGCCATTGGTGGCTGTGCATTTTGGATAAAAGTCAATCACACAGAACAACGATGCAATATTAGAAAATGCCTTAAACATAAAATGATGCATATTTGTAATTGTTCATCTTCATGTTTATAATTCTCTGGACTGCAGATGAAAACAGAAGCCAGCAAGCCTGTCCGTTTTGCCAACGAATGTATTGGCGAGGCGCCTCTTTGAGGGACCATGTCAAATACTGCCAGGAGAGGGAGAGAGGCCACATGGTCTGTCCACTCTGTGGATACACTGCCAACCATAGGTCCCAGATGGAGCAACACCTAGCACTTCACAATCAAATCCAGGACAAGGTGACACACACACGTACAAAAACCATGTCTATAACTTTCAAAACCAGTGAAGCATTTCGAAACTTTCCACAGACTGGGATAATTATTGTTTCCCTTTAGAGTCTAAACCTGATCACACCTTTCTGCTCTCCTAGAATGCCATCAGTTTGGACCAAAGCATGGAGACAAGGAAGTTCAAATGTCTGGAGTGTGGGAAAGCATTCAAGTACAAACACCACCTCAAAGAGCATCTTCGCATCCACAGTGGTGAGACATAAAATAAGATCAAAACAGCTCTGCTCGCACTTCATTTTGCCATTGTTTCCACTGAACTGCTAACCTTTACTTACTGTCAGAATCATACGGTATGAAATTATAACCAAATGGATGTGTTGATAGGACTAGGTTTTACATGATTCACTGCAGGACAAAATAATTATGGAAAAAAATTACACCCCACCCTGGAGGTATTTTCATCTCAAATCTTGGCCTCTGTGTTTAGGTGAGAAGCCGTATGAGTGCTCCAACTGCAAGAAGCGTTTTTCCCACTCTGGCTCCTACAGCTCTCATTTAAGCAGCAAAAAGTGCCTCAGTGGCGGAGGGCATGTCGGAGGGAACATGGGGAGTGGCCATAACGGACACAGCCAAAGCTCTTACCACAACTCTCTTCCTACATCTCCCTCTGCTGGTGGGGGTAGATCAAGCAATGACCACAGCTCCTTGTTGGCTTTACAAAATCAGGAAGGTATCAGGTCTCTGGGCCATTTGCAAACAGATTCTCACCAGCATACCCTGCTGGACTTCCATCAGAGCTTTCCTGGCACATCTGACCAAGCCAGTCTGTGGGATCGTTTACCGGATCTCCCTCTGAGAAGCAGTATCGTTAAAGGGACATCACTGTTGCCTTATCTTCACTCTGGGACCAAGTTTGACCAGATGCTGCAGGAGATGCTTCACAGAGATGTAAAAATAGAGCGAGACAAAGAAGAGGTAGAGGAGAGGAGGGTGATCCACAACGGAAGGGGGTTTGAGAGAAAGGTATCACCAGACAGGAGAAGAGAAGTGAGATCAGGTGAAGTACAGAGAGGTACATTTGGGATGACGTGTCGCTGGTGCTTGCAGCCCTTCCCAAATATGGCGGTCCTCCTACAGCATGAACACAGCCTCTGTAAGATGAACAGAGACGTAGTAGAAGCCACTGAGAGTTTTCGAAGGAAAGACCTATCCTCACCGCCTTTGTTCTTCTCCAGATCTGCTCTTCACTCAGAAAACACCCAACCAGCTGAAGCAACCAATGGATTCTCTGAAAACAGGTCACCTTTACAAAATCCTCGCTGGCAATCGGTCCCACAGCAGCTTCTAGAGGCAAGGCCGTCTCCTCCCCCCCGCCCCGATGCACTGTCCTCACGCATGTATCTGTCCAGCCAGGATAAGGGTAGTCCGAGCCACCTGTCCCCAAGGATGTCATCGCCTAGAGGCAGGAAAAGAGTCCCCTCCTCAGGCTTTAATTCGCCTGTCTGCCTGGAGGTCACAGGTGGTCCACCTGATGCCTCTCCACCACAGAAAGAGCCCCGCAGTCCGTGGTCTGCCCAGAATGAACCACTGGACCTCTCTCTACCTAAGCAGCTGTCAGAGCCAAAGGGAAGAAATACAACTCTTAACGGGATCTCAGGAAGAGAAGTACAGAGAGAGGTTAGGACCCAGCAACTGAGCAGACCAAGTCCGACTTCTCATCTGCCCCTACAGCAATTCCCCATCCTCAGCAGTTCTGGTGCTCCAGTGTTTCCAGCTTCAGTATTCAATGGGTTTAACATATTCAGCCAATCCGGTGTAGGACTTTCACTCCACGAAGGCCTGATGCAGACTCCATACAGTCAGGCAGCTTTAAGTCCTAGGTTTCTCTCACCTATGGCCTACATGATGGAAGCCAATGCAGAAGCTGTCCTGAAAAAGATCTACGAGGAGAGGCAAAGTTTTATGGTGAGAATGTCATTTATTGATTTATTATAAAAACAAAATTTCCAAAGGTATATACTAAACTAAGCAACAAAGTGAAATGAAAACAACATAACACAAATAAACAGGTATAGGACTGAATGTAAGCATAAGAAGCATGTGGTATTACATATCAACTGTTTAATGTTTCTGCAGGGTGAAGTGTTAAACCGTAGTGCTCTGGACTACCTCTCCATCACCGATGAGGGGTTTGAAGGAGAAGGAGGGCCAGGGAGGAAGAGGCTGAAGAAAACAGAGGAAGGACTTTATGCTTGTGACATCTGTGACAAAACCTTCCAGAAGAGCAGCTCTCTTCTCCGACACAAATACGAGCACACAGGTCTGTATCCACCTGCAGACTTAGTAGTGATGAGAAAAATAAGGTTTCCAGCCCTCCATTCAGTCATGAGAGAATAAATACATACATGTTCTTCCTCTATAAAATGATGTAAGTGAAGCAACAAGAATAAGTTGCTGTTTAATGCCCTTGATCATTAGTGAGTGATTAATGGTTGTCAACCTCTATAAAGCAGGCCTAGTGGAGGTTTACTGCTCTGAAGCAGCCTGGTGTTCAGAGCACAATGCCAAGGTAGAAATATAGGAATTATCATTATCGTTGATCTCCATAAATCTTCAAGGGATTATAATGCAGTTTGTAAATCCATAAAGTCGGTAGAAAAGAATAATTATGAATGAAAAACATTTGCGACAGCTACAAATCTTCCAATGAGTGAACGTCCCCCACCCTCAAATGAGAAACAAGAACTCATCTTAGACTCAGTAAGCATGTTATATTTTTCAATTTTGACAAAGAATAAATAACTAAAGATTTCTGGCAAAGTATTTTTTTCTTAAAGAGAGTTATAGTACGAGTTCTGTATGTTAGAAAGTGTGTTTTTGAGACAGGGTTGTCAAGAAAAACAAGTTATATTACTTAAAACATTGAATACCTTCAAAGATGGCAGTGGATGGATGATGATTTGGGTTTGTTTTTTATCCCTGACCTGATTTTTCTGATTCAAATGTTAGAGCTTCTGACTGATGGCTGCAAAACAACAAAAGACAGTTTAAAAATCTTCGGCTGAGGTTTACACTACTATTAAAGGTGGTTTTAGAATTAGGTCATGGGGTATATACGGTAATTATTTTTATTTTTTTTATTATATTTGGTTGCAAAATTCATTGTCTGCCTTGTGTGGTATAAGTGGCTGTTAAAATTTGTAAAACTTAGTTAAATATTAAATTAGATGATAAACTTAATCTCAAATCATATGCAAAAGCTTTTAAGAATGATAGAAATAAAAAACAAAGAAATAGAAGGCAGTGCTGTTTACAGTTGCTTTCACCCCAAATGCTCAACAATTGTTGGGATGTACTTTTAACATTTATTTTTTGTCCAGAAATTGCATTCTAATTACGATAAAAATACTTTTTTTGCATCATAAGCCAACTCATTGCCCATGCATAAAAACCACAAGTGGGTAGAGAGCTTAAGTGCTGGTTTACGAAGCTCATTCTTACACTAACATCAATCAACATTCTCACATTCTTTCACAATGTATTTCTCCTTTAACAACTACTGTATACCTTTAAAACAATAGAAGTTGGTCAATAATCTATTTGAATGAACTAAAATAGTATTTAAGTAAAATGGAGGCAATTGCTTTTATCGTTTCAGGTAAGCGTCCTCATGAGTGCAAGATCTGCAACAAAGCCTTCAAGCACAAGCACCATCTAATCGAGCACAGCCGGCTGCACTCCGGAGAGAAACCCTACCAATGTGACAAGTGCGGCAAACGCTTCTCCCACTCAGGCTCTTACTCCCAGCACATGAACCATCGCTATGCATACTGCAGCAAAGACCAGGATCCGGACCAGGATCAGGAGGAGATGCCTCTCACCCCAGGAGCAGGTAGCAGTTTGGTGGGCAGCCTCGGTGAAGACAAATCTCTGTCTGTGGATGACCCCCTCATGACCCACTCCTTCCTCAGCGACTCCAGTCTAGACGGAGCTCCGGATGCTTTGAAGGAGAGCGAGGAAAAAGAGGAAAGAGTACAGAAGATACACAAAGGTCTGCTAGAAGTAACAGAGGATCTGAGGAGTAGTCCCAATGGAGGGTCACTCACAGATGGCAGCAACTTGCGAAATAAGCTTAGTAACTGTGAATCAGGAAATCATATTAACAAAACAGAGAACCAAATGTGGGGCAGAGACACTCCGGACCAGAATGGGGGTTTGGATAAATGTGAAATGAACATGGAATTAACAGAGTTACCTACAATAATAATTTAACAAGACTTTAAAAAAGTACTCTTTTTAAATATAAATATATATATATATTCTTTCATATACAACAGCCTCAGCATTGTTTGTTTTTATTATTTTACATGAAAACATGCACAAAGCACCAAAGATCACATGGCCTTAAAATGGATGAAGTCATGCCAATAAAAATTGTGTCAATGCAAAAGACAATGTTTTACCATTTTCAATAGACTTCACTTACAGACACACATCATTGTTTCTTTTTTTGTTGTTTTTTTATTTGTTTTTCAGGACAGCAAAAACCAAATTGGGTTGACCTCAAATTTAGATGTGACATTGCATACAGGCTTGCTGTTGTTTATTGCACACAAAATAAAAAGTTTGTTGTTTTCCAATTTAGAAACATAAGTATTTTTGCTTTATACAGTTGAAATTATGATTATCTGAAGGCCCTAAAGCGGTTTTCTGGTTGTTGGAATCAGATTTTGGTGTTCAATTTAATGTCCTAACAAAGCTTGAAAACGCAACGATTATGTAAGTTATGTATTTTTTGCTCTTAAGTGCACAAAACCCCTCTCAGTTCAGTATTTCTGTTGTTTTATGTGATGTTTTTAGGATTTATCTGTTTAATGTAATGATTTCTTTAATTGAAGCTTGTGACTGATTATATATGTTAGAGCTAATTGTCATGTTTGCTGTGAATTCAAAAATGTAACTCTTATTTGCCAGCTCCTCAGAGGTCTCAATCAGCCATCTGTTAAATGTTACAAACAAGCCCCCCAAAAAGAGGAACAGCTGGAAGGTAGCTGTTTATTCATGCTTCAAACAAAAAGATGTGGCCTGCACCTTTTTGAGCGTTCGCCTTACTGGGAGGACAGTCATTTCTGCATCTTTGCTTAAGATGTAAACGGGGGCAAAAGATAAAGATAGTGCCCGGGGGGGTTTCCCCTTTAAAGCAGCAGATTATGATAGGAAGCTTTTACCGTTTGCTTGATTGTCACAAAGAAATTGGTTGCTTTAATTCATCAAGTGCAAAGACATCTGCATTTTCTTGTAACAATTTACATGCGTTATGCCTATTTTTACAGTCACAGAGCATTAACGTGTCAAACTCTTAGGCTTTTTTGACGAGGTGTGGCAAGAGGGTCAAGACTCAGGACGCATAGATCAGTTTTGAACTTCCTCTTTCTGACTGCGGTGTAGTCAACGTGAAAAGTGCCTCAGATGTACTTAGACGACTGTGAGTAATCTGAAAAAGCCTTCGTATGATGAGGCAGTGCAGACGGTGGTGCATGAGGTGTGACTAAGCTTGCAGCGCTCATGCATACTGCGTACCAAAGATACTTCTTGTTCACATTCATGTGTGTGTGTGTGTGTGTGTGTGTGTTTGTGAGACCAAAGATATGCATGTGTGACACGCCAACTCATATGCTATTCTTGCATAGTTCCTTACCTGTTATCTTCCAGCTGAAGAACAGGCAAATAAGTTTTGCATTCACTCACTTTCTTCACTCCTCTAAAGTTTGTGTTGCTTTAAAAATGTCACACCCATGCATCTTTTGTATCAACCTTTTGTATATTGTCTTCTTTTTTTTGTAATAGAAATGTACAGAATTTGTCTTAAAAATCTTGTATTTCATTTATTTTTATAATTAAAACAAGACATTTTTGCACATTTTCTCTCGATTGGTTGTTTCAGATGCAGATTTCATAAGAGGCAAATAAAAATTTTTAGCCATGTAACGTCCTTTTTATGAGTCCGCCTTTCAAGTTCCATTCAGGAGTGTAGCTCTGCAATGAAATTGAGTGATGTGGTCAAATAGCAGCAAAAAGCGCAGCAGAAAGTTACTGATTAGTTACGAAATTAACTGTGGGAAGCTCAATTCTGCATCAGTACATAGCAGAATCCCACCCAGATGAATGCAGTTATGAGTAGTCTGCAGCTCTCATTTGAGTTCATAAAGTAAACATTTTTATTGCAATTTACCCTTTGATGTGGAGTAAAACTCTTCTCTACAAATTAACATACCATCCAAGGATTTTAAAGCATTCTTGGGGGAGCTACTTGTAACAAAAATGCATCTTGAGGCTAAATTTCTTGTGGTATCAGTCAGATTTAAGTTTTGCTCCATTTCTGACCAGGTTTGGTACGTTGATGTGCACATGCCTGTATCCGTTGTATAAGGTTTGTATTCTAAAGTTTAATTTAACTTGATCTGTGGATGTTAACATACATTTTGTACTGTTGGAGGATCCATTAAAAGAAAACGCCGTAGTAAAAGAAACAAGTATGTTACCTGAGGAACTTAATGTTAACACAAAAAAAAAACAGATGTGGTTGCTTCTGTGGTCTTTATTTGTTTACTTCCACAGATCTAAACCACGTTTCTCACCCATATAAACTTTGGAGCACTAGTGAGGACATTCTTTTTTCTGTTGCCAATGCTCCTGCACACATCCGTTCAACCTTTTCCTATTAAAAATGTATTTTTCAATCACGAAAACAGCAGCTTGTTAAAGCACAATCCAAGACACTGCCTCCTGTCTAGGTTCAGGTGATATATCAAATCCATATGTAATGATTTCATGCTTCTGAGATATATTTGATATTCATGTAAGCCAAGAACTATGTAATCAATTTGTTATTTCACAAAAATATTAAAATGGTCTCAGAAAAAAGGAGAGAAATCCTGAAAGCACCAATAACATCAATTGCTTTTTTTTTTAGATTTGAACCAGGCTGACATTTACATGTAGCTGTGGTCTCAGCCCAGTCAGTTTCCCATCATAGTTAACTATGAACCATCAGAGATCACCAGGGAGTTCTTACCTACATTGTTTTTTTTTCTTCTTTTTTTGTGGCTCTGTCTATTTGCATGATGATTCAACATTGTTGCCTAATTTTCTCTTGTAAACCTGTGTGTGGTATCTCTTGATATTTGTTATGCTGAGTTTTAAGTTAATGACAAGTTGAAGATAACAAACCGTGGGATCAGACACATTTAATTCATACCTTACCAGTTTTTAGTCAGCTAGAAATGATAGAAAAGTTACAATTGTGTTATTGACTGCGCTTTTTTGTCAGGTGGAACCATTACTTTTGTAGTAGTGATAGACTGATTCATACATCTTTAAGTTTCATTTCTCAGAAAAATCTGTGAACTGACAGTTTGTCTATACTTTATTTGCTGGAATGAGTCTTACAAAACAAACACAAAAAAGTTAGAGCAACATTAAAATTAAAACAAGGAGAAATAACATTAGAAAAAGAAAGTTTGCTTTATACCAAAACTATAATCTACATATTATTCTTAAAAGCAACCAAAGCAGCAAGCAGTATTCCTTTTAATTTATAGAGTAATGTATTATGTTTTGTAGAAACATTGGGTGAAAAAGCCTAAAACACATATGCAAAACTTTCACAGCATCTAATGTACTGTGTTCCCATAGTTTTCTAAATATTCAACAGCAATTGACCACCTACAGATGCATAAATGGAATCAAATACCGTAAGTGTCCAAACTGCTTAACTTGATTTTATAAATCCAGATTCAGATCTTGTGTGGTTTTAAAGACATTTATTTTAGACGGAGCATCATTACAATCCACTTTTATTCACTCATAGGGACCAAATAAAGTGCTGATTAAAAGCAGTGCTCAGAGTCATTTTAGTGGGCTGTTAGTAATGTCACTCTAAATAAAAAAAAATAAAAACATGACAAAACTTATTTTGCAGCAATTTAATAACACAGATGCTTTATTAACAGAAACAAAAAAAACTATCTGGAAATTTGAAAAAAATGTACATCAGAAATTCTTCATAAAATGTTAGATGCATCATCGCTTTTGGGCTGGCATATTTCTCAAGGAAATTAATCTCTGACATAATGCAAAAAAAGCCTCTGGTGCAACGCTGTCAAAAATTATGAATAAAAGAAACCTCTGATTGAAGGGTGGGCATACAAACTCTGATATAAACTGTAACCACATCATGTGGATTAGAAAAACAGGAGTGGCTTTTCTTGTTTTAGATGAAACTATTTGAGCAATCAAGTTTAAGGACATCCTTGGGAGTTGCTAGGAGTGAATCTAAGACGAGTCCTCATCAGTCAGACGCAGTTTTACCCACTTTCAATCAACTTGCACGACTTCAAATAACACAAATGAAGAAACACTTTTAATAAAAACTTAACCCCCTCCCTCCCCCGCAGTGCCTCCTTTCTACTCCTTTTTTGTCCTCTGCCAAACCCACAGTCAATATAAAATTACCCAAGCCACAGAGCGAGAGGGTTTGAGGGGGAAAATCCACATTTTTAAAACATATGCATTTCCAGTTCCCCTTTTGTTCTGTTATTAAAAGCAGCATTCGCACCAATCACAGGGGACAATTCTGCCTGCTCAGTCTCTGAGGCCCACATACCTCCACACGCCTCTATCTCCGCACGCAAATCTGCCAGTCGCAACAAAGAAAAACAACCTTAGAGGGGCATCCCAAGCAAATCTCACACAGCAGATCATATTTGATCATGCTTTTATTGGAAGAAACAAAAAACTCTTTACCTCATAATTAGTTTGTATTCTGCTAGTTCAGAAAGGTCAGGTTACACAATCTATATAAAAGGGTTCTAGGTGATAAAGACAGAAATTTAACTATTTACATTTAACTTAATATGAGGAGTTTGTACTAATAAAATAGATTTATATTTGTACAAGAGAAGTGATAATTAGTCACTAAAAACCTAAAGAGGAACATTTGCGGCACATTCATCCATTCACTAAAAATTACTCTTTAATCTTTAGAAACACTTTTTAAAATGACACCAAATGATCCATCTAAGCAATACACAGATTAATCTTTGCACTTTTTTCAGCAGTAAATCCAGGCTAATGCTGGGGTGGGGTCCTGTCTGTCCACTCTGCAAGACATGCTGGTGCTTTTCACAGTGAGATGGTTCTGGTAAGTTCTGTTTCAGAGCAACCTTAAGAAATGTCCGATGCTTGATGATTTTTCAGTTTTATGGCTTTTTTTATTCGCCCTGATCAAGTCTGAAACATCAACTAGAAGTGACTAGGAGGCGTCTGATCCAGCACTGTGCTGCCCTGGGGCAGGGCTCCACATCTGCGCTCAAAGGCACAAGCATTGCAGCTAAAATTGGCTTGTTTCACTATTATTGTTTTAACATGGCTTTTTATGGAGGCCAGATGTCATGATTAGCAGCTTTCTGTCTTGGTTCTTTTTACCCCGCAATTATCTTTTGATGTGAAATCCATTTTACAGCATATGGGTCTACAGGCTATTGCTGCAATGCTTCTGCTTCAGTCTGAATTGGGGGGCAGTGTACTGAGCTGCTGCCATCTCCTGGTTTGAGAAGATCAAGAGAGGCCTCTTGTTCCGAAGATGTGATCGAACTCGCTCAGGATTAGCTCCACCGCCTGGTTCTGGTAAACCATGTTCACAGCCATGTTGCCGTTATCATGCTCTGGGCGCATCAGGGTTGGCCCGAACACAATGCCGATGTTCTGGGTGGTCATTCTGTTGACGTCTGAATGTTCCAGCACTCTGCAGAAAATATAAGAGGGAAACATAAAGCATAAATAAGACAATATAAACCTGGAATTGGGTTGAGATAGTTCTAAAGCAAGGATCTAGGGTTGTTCCACAATGTGAAGTGACAGGACATTTCAACTGAAAGGGATTTTTTTTATTGAACGGTTAAACAACTAATCAAATAGTCAAGAAAACAGAAACAAATCGAAGACTGAAGAACTTTATTTAAATAAAAATGCAGCAGCTTATTTAGACACAAGTTGTTACTCTTTTTTATCATTAGGATATTATAATAAAAACACCACTGGTATTTCAAAAAGGCATATCGTCACCTAAAGGATGACGCAGCTATCTGATATCAAGTCTTTAAATGATTTTTTTAATCTCAGATTTTCTGCAGTAGACAGTTGTTTAAGTCCAGTAGTGATTTTTTTTAATACCTTCATAGCTCAGTTTACAACTGGCTTGATTAACAACATTATTCAGTTGTACTTTTTTACTCATTATTAAAGGAATACTCACTACGGTATTACATTAATTATATTTTCATTTTATATATCTTTCCATTTATATATTTCCTATATCCAGAGGTGTTAAGTAACAAAGAACAAATACTTTGTTTCCTTACTTAAGTAGACATTTTGGCTGTCTATACTTTACTTTTATTCCTTACATTTATTTTCAGTTATTTCTACTTTCTACTCATTACATTTAAAAAAAAAAAACTAATTTGTTGATTGTTTTTGTTTTTTTCATTTAAGCTAATTTCATTATGGCCTATTGGTATTAAAAAAAAATAAAAGCCATCAACATACTTTGGTCGGAGCTGGACCAACTTGATGTTCACCGCTTACCAAAATAAATAATTTTTTAAGATGATGTAAAGTTACATTTGACACTGTTACCATTAAGGTATAAAACTAAAAAAATTAAATCTAACACAATTATCATCCAGATCATCATCATCATCGTAGAGAAATGATTCTTTAATAGGCTAGTGCATTAAAGCATCTCCCCTTAACATTACTTTTATACTTTAAATAGTTTTGTAAATGGTACTTTAACACTTTTACTTGGTAAAAAATCTAAAGTTGATTCTCTATCTTCCACATGTGTTTTTAAACAGTGGGATTTCTACTGTAGAAATGTAGTACCGGTAATGTTTTTTTTACTTCTAGGTATGCAATAAACATTAATAGTTTTGACACATCTGCATATATCTAACCCACCACTTACTTGGTTATTACTAGAAATGAAACTTTATGTTAAATGGGAGTCACCAATATCCACAGATGCAGTACTGCAGCCTATTACTCAATAATTACTTACCAATTACTTATGATTCCCAGACTTCCGGCTTGTTTAACTGTTAATGAATTCATCTTTCCTTGCATACATACTTATGAGTTATCAACCTTTCTCAATTACTTCTTACTAATATTTAATTTATCAAATATTTATTTATTGCTTATTTACTTTGTATATCTCTTCCTATGAATTGCCAAATTCCTAAAATAATAAATAAATAACAGAAAAAGAACCTTAAAGAAAGAAACTTGAAAGATCCTCCAAAAGAACTATTGAACACCATTAATACGAAAGCCCAGATGAGGCAAAACCTGAATAATTTAAGTAATGTTTAGAATATTTGTTAAGGTAATATATATTTTTTTTCTAATCCAATATAGGGAATACCGCACCTATGTGACCTAATTGTAACTAAACCTATGTTTGAAGAGAATTTTTTGTAAAAAGTTCTTAATTTCCTGTTTGTCTACACAATGCAGAGCCTAAAGCAGTAAGGTCTCTGCTCTGGCAGACTTGGACTGGAGTCCTGCTTGTGTTCACAGATTTTGGATGTCTTTGCTCGAACATACATGTTATGAAGAGCTAATGACGCTCTAAAACATGCCACCATGTCCTGCAGAGACCTTTCAATGACCTACTAGTAAGAGCAGGTTTGTCGAAGCAGGTACATCTCTGAAGTCTGCAGAACAACAGAAGTTTCAGACTGGACTTGAAGACACTGTCACTGTAACACCCACTGGTGATAAAAAAAAAAAATTATATCAAACAAGGGAAAACCCTGTTAGAAATCCCAAAAGGGCTTTTAGTGTTGGTGTTGTATCCTCAAATAGTTTCCATTCTGTCTTTTCCATGATTTTGGAGAAAATTCCAATTAACTTTAATGCTGCTCCTTTGCAATGGCAAATAGAAAATGCTGTGGAATAATTTGTAACCTCCTGACAGAATACCCAGCTAGGACAACTGAGCATTATTTACAACAACTTGGAAGTAGTATAATTCATGGATGTTTTGAACTTTTTAATTAGATGCTGATATTGAATCAAAAAATGGCTTCAGCTGAGTGTTATTGCAAGGCCTGTGCACACTTACAAAGATTGGCTTTGAAGCTTTTACATATCTGTCATTTCTTCCCCTATAAGATTTGTTGTTTTCCTTTTAAAATTCTCAAGATAAACGTCACCTGTTATGTAGTGTAGAGACTTTTGATAGCCACTGGAAATACCCAAGAAACATTTGATATAAAAACATGGACAATTAGAATAAATATGACAGAATTTACAGTATATAAAACTTGCTTAATATAAGATATTGGAATAGACTGTGACTAATGTTTCACTCGAAATACATTTTATTTCCGTTTTTTAAAATTAAGTTAAGTCGCTGGTTAACCTCAAAGATGTCACAGATAAAGAATGCAAATCATAATAAAATATATAAATTACTACAAAAATGTTTAATGGAGTTCATCAATTTGAATACAGTTCAATTTTTTTTTTCTGCTAATGTCTTTTAAAATCATCATATCTATTAGCATTTAGCTGCTCTTCAGCTTCAGAAGGTGGTTGCTTTCTGTTTGAATGTCAGAAAAGCAGAACATAAAGAGATGTATTCCTGCAATAAGACCCTGACTCACTAAACATGAGGTAAATTATTTAAAATTCCTAGTTTGCTGGGTTACTGATGGATGACCAGACTGATAAAAATAACTCCGAAGAATTACTTTAAAAATATATTATAAGTATTTGCAAGCAAATGATTTAAGTAAAATTGAATCCTGAAATATCAAGTAACACTTACGTGCCAGTATCAAGTGAATTTTACTTTCCATAAGACATAATATTTGTGAAGATATTAGATAACATTTACTTAATTACATCTAAGTTGTAAGTTAGATTTATTTAATTTAAGTAAAGTGTACTTGTTTTTCAAAGTCACAAACAGCATTTTACTGAACATTTAAAGTTGACACAGACAAACAAGCATTCACGCACGCACTCACACCTAAGGAGAATTCAGAGAAGCCAATTAACCTAACATTCATGCTTTTGGACTGTGGGAGGAATCCAGAGTACCCGGAGAGAACCCATGCATGCACAGGGAGAACATGCAAACTCCATGCAGAAAGAACCCAGGCCGGGAATCGAAGCCGGAACCTTCTTGCTGAACGTGGCAGTGCTACCCACTGCATCAACTGAGCAGCCCTCTCATTGAAATCATACTTTTCAAATATGCAATAAAAAATGTACAACTCTCTGAAGCTGACAGTTTCAACATTTGATATAGAAATATACTCATATGTAAGATCAAGAATATTTAACTTTTAACAAACATGCTTAAAACAACTTCTGGGCAAGGGTCAGAACAGAAACAGCCACTTAAACTTTGAGCAGTGGTGTAAGGATTATATACGCTTCTATTTAAATGAAAAAACGCATGTACAAATATAGCATTAATAGTAAAAGTGTATTATGTTGTATTGCTTTAGAATTTATACCGAAAAAAAACATAAAGTTAGTATGACTTGTAAACAACAAATACACAGTATTTCATATACACCACATCCATCACAGATATGGTAATATAGTCACTTCTCAAATATGCGATAAAAATCTTACAAACCTACACAATGAAAGAGTGTAATTTCAACATTTAAACCAGTCGTCCAGACTAGTGGACTTTTAGGAATACAATTACATTAAATAAACAAAATCCACACAATTAACAACATATTAACAGCTTAAACTGTCTAACCGTACTGAATGAAGAATAAAATCTCTACTAGATATTTGAATAAAAGTATCTGTCAGGAAACCTTACACTAAGATTTACTGGAACCCACTGCTAATTCTCGGCCTTTGATGCCACATTTTCCTAACCTAAGATGACAAACTCATTAATGCATTTAGGAAAGCAACTTCAAATTCAGGGTGTTTACTTTTGGGGACAGTTTAAATCCATCCAACTCCAGGAAATGTTTTTGGAAGACTTCAAAAGTTCACGGCATATATGAGTCCCATGAGCAACGAGCAGGTTTTTGCAGTACTTTTGCACCCTGCCAAATGTGTGTGTGATCCGTCTGGACTCAGAGCAGAATCGGTCCTGCTGTGAGCTATAGTGTGCATGCACCGTGCATGCATGCCAAAGCGTTACATTATTAGAGTAAAGTTTATGAAGTATTTTTAGGTGTATGTACATAATGCTATAAAACAATTAAATAGTGTAAGGGAGTCTAAGTAAAACTTTCTCTTTCCCCAAAATTTATGTATTACATTAAAAAAAGGTTTAATTTTACTATTAAAATTCTAGTTTTTTCTGAAGCTTAAAAATGCAGAGTAGAAATTATGACAAATGCTCCAATAGATTTTACTGCACCAAAAAGGAGAAGTCGAAGAAACCTTTTTGTTGCTGAAACTACTTCAGTCACATCCAGTCTGTCTGTAACAGTGACACACATAAAAAAAAAAAAAAAAAAGCAATGAATCCTAAAATTCTGGACATTCCAGAGCACTGACAGGACCAGACTTACAACTGGACTTTCCTTGTTTTGCTGATCCCTGACATTTCCAAGAGGGCCACCATGAAGCCGACATTTGTGGCCTTGAGTCAAATGTCTAAGCTGCTTTTGAATGAAGTGCTATAAAACTGGAATTTCATTTCCGTCCCCTGAGCTTAAAGAACAGATTTAGTAAGCATCAGCTCCAGTATCGTTAGCAGTTTATGTCCAAAACCCTGCAACTTTAACAACATCCCAAGCAGCTATTGATTTGCATAAGTTCTTGCTGATCAAACATTACTTAAATAACAAAGTGCTCAAAGTATTACCAATATACAAGAACTAATAGATTTTGCACATTAGGTGCTTTTTCCAATCACCTATGTTGGTGTATTTGACTGTTAGAACTTAACAGAGGACCCAGGAACGGGTTAAAGCCACAGCATGAGGCATTCTTCTAAAAATGCTGTTCCCACCAAGCCACAGAAGAAGCCAGCAATTGCTCAAAACTTCCACATTAAAAAGAGACGAGGAAAAAAAAGGGGAGAGAGCATAGGGAAGAGGAAGAAAAAAAGACGTGAGCGAGGAAAAGAGTGAAGAGAGAGTAAAGAGAGCGAGGTTCCAGTGGTGGCGGCGGTGGTGTTGGTATGCCTTCCAGCAGACGAACCACAAGGCTCCCATGGGACCTTCGAGGCAAAAATGAGAGAGAAGAAGGGAGGAGAATGAGGGAGAAAAAGAAGACAAGGAGGGAAGGGAGGAAGTATGGAAAGAGAGGAGGAGAAGAAAAAGGAGATAGAGGAGTTTGGGGGGGATCGAGTGGAGAGATAATAAATTAAAACCACAGAGGAATGACATGAGAGGGAAAATGGGGGAAAGACACCGAGCTGACAAATTCATGGGGTCCACCACACCCTGGCACAAACATAAGCCTCAGAACACGAACACTCTCCCCTGGAGTGGAAGAAAAAAAAGCCATAGGCGGTAAAAAACACACATTTTATGTACTGTAAAAGGAACTGGCTCGCAGAACATCGTACACCATTCATCTCCTGCCAGGCTTTTCATCTTCACAGTAACCCAAACTTAACAACAGTGTGATCCTGGTACACTTCAGGCACTGTGGCCAAAAGAATGGCTGACAGGGAATTATTGGGGACATGCGGAAAACTACTCCCTCTTGTGGACAGATTCAATAAGAAAAAAGCCATGAAGAAATCATTTCAGTCAGCTGTCAGGTCGTTTAGTGAAATTCACTCAAAAATTCAAAGAATCTGAAGCGAATGAAACCCAGGCAAGCACATAAACGCATGAGCCTAGAAGAACTGAATGTCAATTTAAATCAATCCTCTCACCGTCTGAGATGTCGACACATGAACTTCAGGGTGTCGTGGTTTGGAGGGGGCATGTTAAGCACTAGACACTTCAGCCGGTCCACTTTGTCCATGTGGTCTGTCATCTCTGCAACGTAGGCCAAGAGACAAGTCAGATTAACAGAAGTATCATCATTTATGCAGCAATATCTGCTTTTTAACAGGAATCTAAAACCTGATTTACATATTTACTGATAACTCGGCACGAACTCGCTGTTTCATCTGATATGAAGAACAGATTAATTGGATATCAACACAGCGGTGTGACAGGCATATAACAAGGGTGCTGACTTTCAACCGAACAGATGAAAATCATCAATTATGAATACCCATTTTAACCTCATTATTTTTTGTAGGATGTTATATATTACAAAAATAAAATAACTTATCTGCTTCAATACAGGAAGCTGAAAGGCTGACTGACATGCAGCCAGATCACTGGCAGGCATGCTAAATGATACATAAAAAACTAGGAATTGTTTTACCACAGTCCTGTAACACAAAGGTTTTTTGTGACACACAAGTTTTAGTCACTTGATCCTGTTTCCAATGCTGCAGAGAGTAAGAACTGCATTAGAATATGTTGCCCCCAAATCCTCCAGGAAAAAAAATCGGACCCATGGATTCTTTACCAATTTGTCGGACAACGGCAGTTCTTTAGCATGTCCAAACATTTCAAACTTTCAAATGAACCAAAACACTGCAGAAGAAGTTTAGGTGAAAATTACTGATGCTGCTATAAAATCTCAGATTATAGATTCTTGTCAATGGATGCTTGTTTGATACAAAATGTAATTTGTTCAAACTACAATTTTCTCATTAAATTCCTAAATAATAAGACTTTGCACTTTGCTATCAGACTAAAGGTTACTGTCATGCTCCTCTCCAGTGTAACCAGCTTCCAGTTTTTCTTCATGAAGCAGAAACCCCATCTATTTTTGACACCCGGCTTAAAAACCTACTTCTATATAAATCTCATACCTAAAGTGATATACATTATGAGCTCACCCTATCCTTCATTAGTGCTTTATTTGAAGTTATTCCTACCATTCACTTTGTGTACGGTGGGAATAACTGCAAATGCATATTTTGTCAATTTCTCTCTTCTCACGTCTGAGTTGGCCTCTAGATGCTGATTCTCGCTCTGCCAGAGGTTTATCCACATTGAAAAGGAATGCTTCCTCTTTACTTAAAAAAAAAATCCTGCACAACATAGTGGCGGCAGAGACAATATTTTTCTTTTTTAGATATATAATGTTTTAAGTGGTATTTTCACTCTTAGACCAATGCACAAACAATGCTGATGGACTAATTAGATTAGAGATCTGCTAGAAAAGGAAATTCTTCTTTCTGAAAGCTGATGAGGACCAGAAAGCAAGTTCCAAGTTTCCAATAAATCTCTGCTATCGAGCTGCTAAGGCACAGCAGACTTCTCAGGTATTCAGAGATAGACATTCTGTTGGTATCAGTCGTTTAAAAAAAATAAACCCGACATCACAGATTTGTTTTCTTCTCACAGCCTTTATGTTAGAAAAAATCCTCCAGAAGACCTGAACATCGTACAAGTTTACAAAAGTAAATTAGATACATTTAGTCTGGCTTCTTCTTGTACTTGCATATTAATCTGTGGCATATTTTTCTTTCTTTTTTATTGTTACCCAGTTTTATTTTTTCATTTGGTTCTATTAACTTAAGTTTTGTCTTAAGGTTTTTATTGTGTTTGTGTCAATTATTCATTTACTTTTTGGATCCCATTCTTTTTCTTCTATACCTTCAGTGTTTTGGTCAAGTCAAATTTGATCTGAGTTTTGAACCTCTTTTCATAGTGATCATGTTTTCTATTTCAACTATAAGGTATTTCTCGGGTTGATGGTTAATCTTCCATCCTTATTTCTGCAAATCTATTTGTGTTACATTTGACTTAAATTTTTTTTTTTCTGTTATCATAAATGATTTAAAACAGTTACAAACTATGTTATATCTGAATTTGGCCAAGTTGAACTGAATTATGTTACAATACAATTATTATTTTGAAAGGGTGGTAAACGAAAAAGATTAACGTGTATTTTCCTTTTTGAATTTATGGTTTGTCTTTTTTAAATATTGATGTTCTTCTGTAAGATGGAGTCAACTAAGGTTTAGAAGAAACCTTAGTTGACTTTGATATCTTTGATATCAACTATAGAAAGTTTAGAAATTATTAAAAGAAACACTATATTTGCAAAAGCTGATGAGCACAAAGCCCTCACTCTAAAGACCAGCATTGCTAATTTTTTCAGAACAAATAATAATAATTTGGAATTCATGCAGAAGCGCTGTTTTGATGCCATTCAAAAATGTTTATATAATACTTGAGAATCCCCTTGAATTTCTCCATAAATTATATTAAACGTATAGTGGAGGATTTTCTTTTTCCAGGTGGATCATCAAAATAAGTGTTCCTCCTAATTGTCAATCATTCTGGTGATATGTTTATGTAAGGCCGTCTTACGTGCTCGTACCCATTTTCACTTACTGGTGGTGAGTCTGACATAGTAGAAAAATTGCAAATCTTCTTTTGTAAAGTAAGCTTGTATGAGCGATGCAAACAGCAACTTTTAAACAGAGCGTGCACGAGGCTGGTGCATGCATTTAATAGACGTTCCCTCACTGGAGCGGGTACAGGGTTGTGCATATGCATTTTGTTTTAAAGTGGATAGGGCGGGTATTTTCAAAAATAGCGAAAATTATCCACTATACCTTTAACTTTTGAGGATTTTGTAAACAAACTCATACAACTAGTTAATGAAAAAAAAATTACATGATTTCATAGTCGGTAAAAGTCAGAAAAGTCCAGTATAAAACCTTTTGGAGTCATAATTAACTTGGGTAGCTTTTAGCTTCTCCAGGAGTCCAGCTACCATTAAATACATCATTGCACACCAAGGCTGCAAAGACGGAAGCTGTTGTTTTAAAAGACAATCACTGTCCTTTTGCAATGAAAAATAAAGTGGATCTGGTCAGAATCTATTAGGGGAAAAAAGGATTTTTCTTTGAACTTGGTTTGTGGATGAATAAGAGTAAAATAGAACAGGGCAGTTCAAAAGAATGGAAATAATTTTCAATAAACCAAACTATATCTCTGATATCAATAAAACCAGTTCTGATTGTATCTATGTCATTAATATAAGCACTGCATTCTCAAAAGAGTTGTTGATTATGAGTCCTGGGGGCCAAAACATGAATGGAAAATATTCATCAGCCACAAAATTCAAAGGTGACAAAGCGAGAAAAACATCAGATTGAACTCTGTCCTGGTTTTGACTCATTAGGATCAAACATACAGCGTGCATTCATTATGAAACAAGCTGAGAATAAATACAGAGATTAAATCAAAATATATCCTGCGAAGGTGGTCTGGTGGTCGAAATGTTTCCGAAGATGATTTTAGAAATCAACCAACACAGACTTAAAACACTAAGAGCAAAAACTAACCCATGTCATGCATAAAAACGCTGAGGTTTGAAAATGTTTCAGGTTAATATTAAAGCAAATTCTTTGGTGAATACATTTATTTCTCAATCACCTCTGCAGATAGTAGGAAAATAAAGATGTTGCAAAAGTATTTAAAACCCAATGAGCTCTTTTTAATTTGAAAATACAATGAATTTCAATGCACCCTATGTGCAGCTACGAAACTGACGAGTACTGAGTAGCAAATCATTGTAAAGGGAACAGAAATTAACGCATGGTTTTTATATTTTTCTGAAAATCTACATATTAGGGCACATATTTTCATTTTCACTCTGATATACTCAAATAAAATCCAATGAAAAAGTATCAGTTGTGTGTTATTTAATCTTTTTTTGAAATCTTTAGAACATTTCTAGGGAACATAAAGCTAGCAGACTAATGGACACAACAGCCTGTTTAGGATATAGTTGTGAAAAACCTTGGAACATCTCACAGAGCATCTTCTAATCTATCATTTGAAAATGCAAAGAGCATGATACAATTGGAATCCTATTGAGACATGGTTGTTCCCCTGAAATAACAGGAAAGGCAAGGTTGGCTTTGATCTGAAAAGCTCAATGCTGAGCCTCAATTTCAGAGCTCAATGCTGCATCTGAAGGAGCTGTTGAGATCCAAATCTCAGTTGGGATAATCTGCTGACATGAAAGTCACAACTTCTTTATGGAAGAGAAGGACAAAAAAACATTTTGCCAAAAGAAAACCGTGACAAATCTTAAGCAAGCTGGAAGATACAGTAGTGTTCAGACGAAACCAAAACTGAGTTTTAGGCCTGAATGTGATTAAATGTGAATTAAAAGAAAAAAACTAAATCTAGGGCACAGGTGTCAAACTGGTTCCAGAAAGGGCTGTGTGGCTGCAGGTTTTCTTTCTAACCAAACAACAGCACACCAGGCTCCAGGCATCTCATCAAGTCATCATGTTCAGATTGGACTCAATTGATGAGATGACTGGAGTCTGGTGTGCTATTGCTTGGTTGGAAAGAAAACCTGCAGCCACACGGCCCTTTCTGGAACCAGTTTGACACCCCTGCTCTAGGGGAAACAGCATCATGCTGTGAGGATATGAATCCCGAATGAATCAGCGCATATTCATAGGTTTACCCAAAACATGCAGATTTTAGTTTAGTTAATAGTGGTTCTACATCGACCCAGTGGGGCTTGATATAAATGTACACTCCCATTCTCATGGCATCATTTATAAAAAAGGATTGAAATCCAAACTATGCATTCTGTTCCCACCATGTCTCAATGATGTTCTTCATTGTGCTGGTCTACCACATAAAATCTCAATAAAATACTTTTAGATTTCTGGTTGTAACATGAGAAAAAGAAATGTCAGGGGGTGCAAGCACTGTGCTTAAAATTTCTTTTTGATGGAGTGATTAAAGATTGTTGTAACTTTGCAGCACCCTCCTTAGTGTTCATTTAGACTAAACAAACTGCTGGCTTTAATATAAGCCATAAGAAAGGGCTGAAGGTGGTCACTCACTGACTGTCTCCACGATGTCGGTGAAGAAGCCATAGGGAACGAGCGGCTCTGGAAGCTCGCGGAAAAAAAGTTTCAAAGCCCCCGTGACGACATGGATGTCCTCCCACTCGCTCTCGTCCAAATTCAGCTTCTCCTCTAAGACAAGAAAGATGATGAGGATGAGAAAAAGAAAAAAAAAAATCAGACAAGCGGAGTCAGAGGAAGTAACTTTAAGAGGAAAAAAGAAAAAGAAAGACTTCAGTTGGCTCATTTGATGTGAGAAGCGAGCAAATTGACTCCAGGGCTGAGGCGTAACATGAAGGCTGCTAGCTGCAGGACGGAGATAGGGTAAGAAAAGTGAGAAAAACACACACACACATCCAAAAAACACCTACGCTTACACACACACACTCACTTCAGATAGCAAAGAACACAGCTTTTTTTTTTTTCAACTCTGACTAATGTTTCTCAAATTGGACCAAAAGAGCCAAATGATTTGAGGAACAGCAACCTCTTCACTTCAACAATAAGAAGCATCAGTCAGAAGTACTGCTGTAAGGTTTAAGCATGTTAAAAAAAAACAGACAATTCTCTTCTTTGTCCACTTGGTGGCACCCACGGACTGCGTGGTAACTCTGAACAACCTGCTGCATGTTATTACATCAGAAATCTTGAAGCACAGAGGCCTAAAGGGACACACACATCAAGCAAAGAGTATCACAACAACGACAAAAGAAAGAGAAAAAAATGCTATTCTGCTCCCATCTGCACGGCAGCTCAGCTCTGCTATAGTCAGCTCTCTGGGTGGGCATTGTGGGGACTTTTTCCCCCCACTGAGGCATTCAGGTTTGCAGCACATGATACACAAAACACACAGTAGGCTGAGTGAGAAGTAAAAGCGGGCCGGCTTTATGCTTCCTCTGCTTGAGTCTACCTTGTACCAGGTCCGCTGGGAACATGAAACGGCCATCTGTGGTCAGCGCTCGTTCTGCAAAAACCAACAGGTACTCAGATGGATTTCTGCTACGTCCGGTTCATTAACACTAAGGGCCCGCAGTGTAGGTCAGGCAGTCACAGATTTCATTAAGGTTAACACTCACTTTTATATTTATATGATCAACAACCAAGGAAAAAAAAACAAAAACCTTTAGAATCTATACTTATCACAAGTTCTTTCCACATTAAGTTTATTTAGTTATCACATAGAGAATCCTGATTTTATGGTCTTATAAATATATTTCTAAGGTTGATGAAAAAGAGGAATAAAAATGAACAATTTAACTTGGTTTCATTATCATGTACAGATTTATCAGGACTTTACACATGTTATTCTCCCCTCCACCTCTTGATCCTCACCGTGGTCCACCAGAAAGCGAAGTTTCTGAATCACAGCAAGATTCCCTGAGACTCTGTAGATGCCATCAGTGTCCAGTCCTGCAACACACCACCGACAGCAGATTAGCCAGGTAGATCTCCAAAAGAAAAAGGTTCAAGTGTTTACAACCTTCTGAATGTACAGGGCTACGGTTCTACCTGATCATCCTGAAAGATGCAGAAGCCATCACTGATGTGAATCAATGCACTTACTAAATACATTGTCTTAAGGTTTAAGTGACAAAATGGAACTAAGAAAAGTTTCAGCATATCAAGCAAAATGAAACAAATGACATGCTGCATGATGCCATAAAATCTTCTAATTTATTTGAGCTTCTTCCTCATTTCACCACTCATTTGAAAAAGGCCTGACAAAGTTATAAGATTCTTTGTGGAAATAAGTAGCCTTTATAAGGAATGTGAGTTCAGAATCCCAAAACCAAACTGAACCACTTTAAATACTCCCTTATAACCACCTCCATTAAAATATTAAATCAAAATTTTAAATAGATGTGTAAGGGAGAAATAGGAAGTGTGCAATAACTTGGTGTTCTGCTTGTTCTTTCAGTATTGCATGTTATTTTTTATTTATTTATTTTTTATTCTAATGAGTCTGTATGTGTGTGTTTTTAGCAGTTATTTGTTTTTATGTGTATTTACAACTATGCTCTGCACACTTTGGTCCATGACAAATTTTGGGTGGGCAATAAAGTATATTCTATTCTATTCTACTCATCTAGCCATATAT